CAGAGCATGAAGTTGGATAGCGAGATGGACTGGCTCAGCCTAGAACATGGCACAACGCTGGGCCCACCTACAGAGGAAGAGCGTGCAGAAGAGACTGCAAAGAAGAAGCTGACTAACAAGGTGGGGCGCTGGGTGCATTGATGGGCTCTGTAAATGTTGCCTGGGGCTGCAGCTTGATTGGAGTGGCTGTCCTGCCTCCTACAGGTGGACCTTTCTGGTTTCCAGCACACCTCTGGCCCCGAAAGCAGAATCTTTGTAGAATGTGGGGATATTTCTGAGGACGCTGTGGAGCACTGATAGCACTCTCAAGTCTGCTTTGAGGACCTTGTCTCCCACAGCAGTTGCTGCAATTGTTCTTCAGTTCTTAGCTGTATTTCCAGCTGTGTGCATGAAGGTGGATGAGCCAGTAAGCTTGGAGTCCAACACCCCTTCCCTTCTGTATATGAGATGTTTGCCTTGTCTGTGTTTCTATATTTTTCCCTGTTTAGACGCACACTTACTAAGCCACTTGTTATGCTCTGCTGTTAGTAGAAAATAACCAACAGCATATATTTGAGGATTATTCTACTGAGGTCTACTTTGGTGTCCTCCCAGATGGGCAAGGCAAGGTTTTTAACCACTGAGGATCTTGCAGCTGTTTTGAAAATGTTATTGCAGTGCCTGAGTTACCATTAAGTTTTATGGCAGTATTTATGACCAGGTTTTGAAAAAGGGATGGTACTGTTGCATCTCCTTGACAAACACAAGTCCTTTGTCTTGATAGCTTTTAGCGGAGCATGCTGATAACCTCCATCTGACATCTGGCTTTGAAGCAACCATCAACAAGTTTGATACTAATTTCTCAACGCATCTGCTGGATCTGTTGGACCGGCTAAGTGTTTACAGCACCAATGACTGTGAGCACAGCATGCTTAACATCATCTACAGGTGAGCCAGGGGTTTTCTCTCAGTAGCTCAGATTCAGCCCAGAAGCAGTGATTGCTGTTTTATAGCTGTGTGTGTCTGCCTCATCAGAGGAAAGACTGAAATTGCAAGAAATGTCACTTTGTGTTTCAGGCCATACTTTGAAAAATAGTCTTTTGAATTTTGTGAATTTTTTTTTGTTCTAATCCATGTGTTAGTTCACACTGCTTTATGAAGTGTTCCAGCAGGAGATCGGGCTTTTGGATGTCATTGCAGGCAGTGCTGGGCATGGCCAACATAGTGCTGATGGCCAGGTTGCCTGCTCTTTTCATAGAAGAGCATTGTGACCCACAGTCCTCGAGTCTCAGCAGGAACATGTGGAGATCCTTCTGTTGGTGGCATCACCCAGCTCAGCTCAGGCTGGAGCTGGTTTTCACCTTGCTTAGAAATGCAGAACAGTATCAAGTCCCTGACAATCCTTTCTGTCAAGACACAGAAGTCCTGCAGCCTTCCATCACACTTTATCACACGCTGTGCCAGAGATTACACCAATGCCTTTTCTGCCGATAGCTCAGGTGTCAGGTGTCCTCCCACTATTCCTAACTTAGCAGAGGTTCACCTCTTTTGTCATTGACTCTCCACCCTTCTGTGAACTGTTTATGGTTCCATAGGATGGTGGAAGCTCTCTCTTGTGGTGCTGCACCATGGAGACTGGTGTTGCATCCCATTTGATGCCATGTCCCTGGTGCTGTGGCTGGGAGTTGATCCATGCAGAAGCTGTGCAGGCAGTGCTCCCAAGTGCTTCAGACTTGTTCTTCACAAGTTCTTCCTGCTTCTGATGAATAGAGAAGGATGGTGATTCAGCAGGATGTAAGAAAACAGAATGCTTCCGTTGTCTGGTTGCACTAAGGACGGTGACCTAAAACTGTATCAGGCTGCTTTCAGAGCGGGGTCTGAGGCCTCTGCCTCCAGGCACTTCCACATCCCACTTCTGTAGAAGGGCTAAAAAGGAAGTACTGTGTCTTAATGCTGCCATCACTGTCATGTCTCCCAGTCAGGACTGCATAGGACCATGCAAATCTTCACTGAGGGTTTTGGCACAGATGGACTTTGAGTTACAAAAGCAGGTGTCCCCATTTCCTCATCTAAAATACTGTATGTTAGCAGGACACACAGCAGAATGTGTCCTTCCATTTCCAGGGGCTGCTCAATAGCATTTTAAGAAGCGGAAGCACCACGGCGAATGGCCAGCTCTCATTCAGTCTGCACAAATTATCAGATCCAGTTGTGGACACTGTAGCAACAGGAACCCAGGGACCAGAATGAAAACGATTGCATCTAAAATAACATACTTGAGATAGAGAGAGAATAGATTGTGGGATACGCTGATCCTCTCTTACGAACTGTAACCACAGATCTTCAGCATGCTGAGGGTGCTCGGGTGTCTTGGCTTCTTCAGCAGTGCTGACAGAGAGTTGGTGGCTGCAGAAAGTGCCCACAGTCACTGCCCAGTTGGGAAAGGGTGCAGCATCAGAGCAGAGGGAACTGTCAGGTGGATGACTTTGAATCCAAATGCCCTAAAATCTTCACTCATTAAGTGCTGCTAGTGCTATCCTTCTTCCACAAATTTGGAAGCAACGGGAAGGCTGAGCATGGAGGAGGATCACTGGGACGTACAGAGTGATGCAAAAAAGAGTGAATGTGTGCTCCAGCCACAGAATGAGAATACTGAGTGGGATTTGGGAAGGACTGCACCTATCCTTAGGAGTTACTGAAGATAATTTAATCCTAAAAACAGAGTTGGAAAGGAACAGGATGTGAATGAGTCCTGCCTGTGTAAGCCCATAAGTTGGAATCAAAATTCAGTAAATAATCCTGCCTTAGTGTCATGTGTCCTTTGCATAACATTTAAAGGACAAAAGGGATGTAAGCTGCTCAGGCAGGAGAAAGCAGCTGATAAATTCCATCTGTCGAAGCTGTTTTCCCCAGTCATGAAAAACATCAAGGAACAATTTGCTGCCATTTCTGTAAGATTGTTAAGCAACATGAAACTCAAATGTTATGCCTATTCCGTAAGTATTGGAACAACTTATTTGATAAACGAGGAGAGTAATTTCTGTGTGATGTGCAGACTGCTGGCCCCTGCTGTTTGGTGCTGCTAGGGTGCACATTTCTCATAGGATCACAGAATGGTTCAAGTTGGAAGGGACCTCAAAAATCAGATAGTTCCACTCCTCCTGCTGTGGGAAGGGTAGCCAAGCATTGGATCAGACTGCACAGGGCCCCATCCAGCTTGGCCTTAAAGCCACTGGGGATGGGGCAATCTCAGCTTCTCTGGGTAGCCTGTGCCAGGGCCTCACTGCCCTCTGGGTGAAGAATTTGTTCCTAATCTAAAGCTCCCCCTCTTTCAGTTTAAATCAATTTCCCCTTGTCCTATCACTGCCTGCCTGCTTGTAAGTTCCTCTCAAGCACTGGAAGAACTATTCTCAGTTGCATGACTTTGCGCTGCGGAGATGTGCCTGGGGAAGGCCGCAGCGGAGTGGGGCAGGTGGTTCTGTGCGGTTCTGTGCCACTGAGGCACCGCCTGGATTACAAAGGAGATAGGCTGATGCTATGGGTGGTGCCTTGTGCTGCAGCAGCGTGTTAACTGCTTGGGGCTGCAGGGTGAGCAGGTTGACTCCTTCCTGTGCTTTGTCCTACAGGTTGGACTTCAATGGGTTCTACACGGAGCGCCTGGAGCACATGTCTGCAGAGCGGAGCCAAAGGGCAGCCCCACCACCCCCCCGTGCTGCCGTTCCAACCCCATGAAGGAGATGGAGGAGCAGTGGAACCTCTGAAATAAGTGTGATGGATCTGCGCTTCTGAGAGGCTTTTGTGAAGTCTTTTTTTTTTTTTTTTTTTGACTAGATTGTAAAATGATGTCTTTATGTGTTGTAAAATAAAAGTTAAAGAAAAAAATAAAAGTCAGAGTCCTGTTGGCACATGGCACGTGCCGTTGTTAGGTGACCAGAGCATGCTCTGGCCTAGCGGAAGCCCAGTGGGGGCTGCTGGTGGGGCCATCTGATCTGGCTCAGCCGATGGCTGCTCTGCTCCAGTGGCCCCTTTGAAGCTCTCCGGGTTCCTGTTGAGGGCCATTGCGCCTTGAATGCCCCGCGGGAGTTTTTGTTCCTACTCATTTACACAGGTATCCTAATCTCAAAAGGTGCTGTGTCCTGCCTCCGGTGTCCCCAGCATGAGGCATGCTGACACAACTTCAGCTGCCGAGAACTGCGCTGTCCAAATGGGCATTTGCTCATTTCAGGTGTGGGTGTGGTTGGACAGAACAGCACAGGGATCCCCACTCCACTCTCCCAGGGCGGAGCTATGACTCTCCATTGAGTCCCAGCACTCCTGTGCCTGCAGCAGGGCTGTGTCCTCTACTAGTCTTGCTGCACAGCCCCAGGTCAACACAGGTGGTCCCAATAAAGGGATCCTACATGGATTAGAGCCTTCACAATATCCTCATTTTCCCAGCTGGTTTTGGCCCTAGAACACAACAAAAGCATCGAAAGCTCTGTGTTATCTCTGCAGATAAGGAGGAAGCAGCAGCTGGACCCTCAGGGGACCCTGCCCAAGGTTACGCATCATAGGGTCCAACAGGAGCAGTGGATGAAATCTGAGAGCCAGGACCTGTGTGCGTTCTCTGCCATCTGCCAACGGTGACGTGCACGACCCTGAGTGCTGAGCCCTGTGCATCCCACCCCATCGCCCCAGAATCAAGCGGGTCTCTCCCGGCCCCCCAGCACCTTCTGGTCACCTCCTAAATGCCCTGCAGAGCCTCACAGTGACCCGGGACACCCCCTGGTACTTCGAGGACAACCCCCGGCGGCGCCACGACCCCCCTCGGTGCACCAAGGACCCCCTTCAGTCCTTCCAGATGGCCCCCGCGGCCCACAGCTCCCTCAGTCGCCCCGAGACCCCTCTGTCCCCGCTCCGCCCCGCACTCCTCACCGGAGGCGGCCCGTCCCGTCCCGTTCCGCCCCGCTCCGCGGCCGTGGGTGAGTCACACGCCGGGCGGGGGATGCGGCGCGGAGCTGAGCAGCGGAGGGAGCAGAGCCATGGCCCCGCTGCTCGCCGTCCTCCGGCTGCTGCTGGGGCTGCTGCTGGGCCGCGGTGAGTGCTCGGGGGCCCCCGGCAGCCTCCCCCGCGGAGGGTGCCGTCGCGGGTGGATGCCGCTGTTATGATCGGGATGCTGTGAGGGCTGGAGTGGGGAGGCAAGGGGCTGCCGCGTCTCCCCCACCGCAGCTCTGCCCTTCGGGTTCCCCAGGAGTCGGCGCGGGGCTGCGGGAGGAGCTGGCCCACGTCGAGCGGTACGAGACGACGGTGCCATGGCGCGTACCGGTGCCCCGGGCAAAGAGGGATCTCTCCGTGTCACCGGTGAGTAGCGCTGCGCCCCAAACATAGCACCAGTGGGGCTGCGCCCAGCAGCGCTGTGCCCCCACTCCAGCAGACCTGTGTCCAGACCTGAGCAATGCCGTAGTCCAAACCCGGCAGCACCGCATCTCAAATTTTCATCCCGGTACCGCCTCGGTGCAGCTTCCCTCACGGCCTTGCAGCGTGCTTGGGGGGGACGAGGGGGGAGGGAAGGAGGGAGGGCGGTGGGATTCGATGAGTGGAGAGCAGAATGTGAAACCGGCTCCTGTTTGCCATATCCATACTGGATGAAGTTTTGGGGTTTGCTGCATTGTATTGCATGGAAGTTGTAACATCTTTTCCGGATTGTTTCTGGCCAAAACGGGAGTGGAGAGCAGAGAACTGTTAGGGAGGGTGATGCTGGACGCTTTCTTTGGGCCGTTTTGTGGCGTGGGCACCCCTTGTGGTCACTGATCCTGTGACATCTGGTCTGTCATTAAGCAGGAATGTGCAGAGCCTGGCCGTCCCGGTAAGCCATTTTCTTGCTGTGTTTGCTGAAGTTGTTTCTTCATTCCCTTGGGAATGGGAAATAAGAATCAGAGAGTCTCAGCAGCCCACATGGAAGAAAACGAGTGCTATTTTTTCAGAAAGCTTGTAGTCTGGGGGAGGGAATGGGGTTTCACTCTGGAGATTTGGCATTTTGATGACGATGGCCATGACCCAAGATAGCCATTCTTCATTGCCTTGAAAGAAGTGAAATTCAGGTAGAAGTGAAGATTTGTGTTGTAGAACAGAAGCCTTCAGCACCCAATGAGAGGTCTGGGACATTCATTTTTTTACAGCAGGTTTCTCCATGATTCAGACCCTTATTGATGAAGCAGCTCCAAAAGCCACTCCCCAAAAGCATCTGCTTTCCCTGCTCTAGAAAATCAAACACGTCCACGAGATGAGTGATGCTATTTTAAGACACCATCTGTGCTGGCGGGCAGCTTTGCACCTTGCTGTGGTCCCCTGCTTCCCCATGTGAAAGGGGTCTGGAGAAGGATGCAGATGGTGAAGGAGGCCTTCCCCCCTGAAGGAGACATTCCCCCCTGCCCTATCCCATGGCTGTTGCAGCTGTGCTGCCCCACTGGCCCCTTCCCAGTTCCTCTGTGATTCCTGAGAGCCCCAGGAGCTGCCAAGAACAGCAAAGCCCCACTTTGTGGCCACTGCACATAGGGACGCTGCTTATGAGAGAAGAATTTGGACAACTTTCATGACCTCTGCTTCCTGCAGAGTCCCCAGGGGTGGTGGCGGTGATGATGGTGGTAATGATGATAGATGCTGTCGCCCGAGGCTAAGCTGAACACCTCACTCAGGAGGAATGCTTGTCTCATCCCAGAAGGGCGCATGGAGCAGCCCCAGGGATATGCGGCATCTCCATGGGATTGAGTGAATGCCAAGGTCTCAAGAACCATAGGGTGATGTTCTGAAGTCCCTTCTGCTGGCACTGCGGAGCCACTGGGAGAACTGACACACAGGAAGCTGAGCTTTGCTCTCAGTAGCAGACAACAGACCAAATCATGTTGCTTTCTAACCATGAGGTGGCAAGTCAGATCAGCTAGAGATAAGGAAGTCTGCTGGTGAGTGCAGTTGAAGAGCTTTGTGGTTCAGCCTATGAGTAAGCGCTGAGCTCAGCCCCAAAAAAGGAGCTGAAACCCCAGTTTCTGGTGCACCCAGCTGCAGCTGTAAGTCAGCCACGGGAAGCAAGCCCTGCTGACTCCAATCTATGGCTGTGACCTGCCCGCCAGCTCAGGATGTGCTGGAGATTTGCATTATTGCCTGCGTACTTTGCTTCAGCCTGATTTCCTGTATCTTTGCTGAATGAGCTTGCATGCAGCCGGGGAGAAGCGTGGCTCCTTGTCCTGTAGCTCCTCACCAGTGTGCTGCCTGTAGATCCCATGTCATTCATGTTCAGGATTGAGATCAGGGCAACAGGATCCTCTCTTCTGTGCCTTAGTTCCTTGTGACAGAGGGTTTGTGCTGCTGTTTTGTGTCACGCAGAGCACCTACCTGGAACGTGTCCTCTACAGTGTCCGTGCTGAGGGCAGGGACTACCTGCTGCACCTGAAGAAGAACAGGTGAGTGCAGCTGCAATGGCACTGAGCTAGCACAATCCCCACCTGAGAGGTCTGGAGTAGCACTTTACATCCTGTCTCCAAAGCTGGAGCTGCTGCTGACATCCCTGTCTGGGTCTGCAGGGAGCTGCTGGGACAGCATTACACTGAGACGCATTATCTGGCTGACGGCACTGAGGTCACAGTGAAGCCAGATGTCCAGGTATGGGGCTGGAGTCACTTCTGGAAAATGAGTTTTTGGGGCAAGAAAGGTACTGGCAGTGATGTGGAGGAAGCATAGCGCTTCTTATGTTGTTGGGGCTAGTGGGCTGAGGTGGGACCCACTCTACATCCCTGCTATGGGCAGGAACATCTGCCACTAAACCAAGTTGCCAACCTGGCCTTGAGCACCTCCAGGGATAGGGCAACCAGCTTCTCTGGGCAGTGTGCGCCAGGATCTCACCATCTTCTAGATGAATAATTCCTTCTTGATGCCTAATGTAAACTTTCCTTCTGTTTGTTTAAAGCTGTTACCTCTTGTCCTATCATTACACCCCCTGGTGATGAGCTACAGGTACCTCAGCCCAGGTGCAGGACATGGCACATGGCCTGGCTGAACGTGAAGTTCACACAGGCCCACGTCTTGAGGCTCTCCAGGTGTCTCTGCATGGCATTCCTTCCTCCAACACCGCACAGCTTGGTGTCATCTGTAAACGTTCTGAGTGTATGCTCAGAATCTCACTGTTCATGTCACTGATGAAGATATTAAATAGTATTGGTTCAGTCCCAGTGTGAATCCCTGAGGGACACCACTTGTCCCTCCATTGTCTCCATTTGGATGTTCAACCACTGACTGCAACTCTTTGGATGTAATCCAAACTCAGTCAATTCCTTATCCACCAAGTAATCCCTCCATTAAACTTCTATCTCTCTAACTTAGAGGCAGGAGTGTTGTGGGGGATTGTACCAAAAGCCATACCGAAAGCTGAACAGATGACCAGTTGCTCTTCCTTTGTCTGCTATTGCAGTCATAGAAATCATAGAAATCATAGTCACTCCATTGTAGAAGACCACCGTTTTACATGCCTCTTTTCCGGGTTGCAGGACCACTGCTTTTACCAAGGCCATGTTGAGGGGCATGCCAACTCTGCAGCAAGCATCAGCACCTGTAGTGGGCTCAGGTAGGACCTGTGACAAAACAGGAGTGAGGAAAAGGTGAAAAAAAGCCCTAATTGACCCTAGGTACCACTGTGCTGACCTCCATGGATTCAGGGGGAAGCAGATAAACAGGAAAGGGTCTCCTGCAAGGGGGGTGCATGGCATCTGCCTGTTTCTGCCAGATTGTCTGCACCCTGGCCTTACAACTGTCCTCTCTCTTGGCAGTGGCTTTTTCCGGGTGAATGAGACCATCTTCCTGCTGAAACCTCTGGATGAGCATGAGGATGGCCAGCATGCAGTGTACAGAGCATCCCACCTGCGCATGAAACGCATTGCCTGCCTGGAGGCTGCATTGGAGTATGACCACGACCCCAAGATTGCTGCACCCCTGAAGCTCTATCACTGGGTTAGGGATTGCACTGATTTTTCTCACTGTAGCTGAGTTTGTGAGAGTGCTATAGCCAGTGAAGTTGGGAGAGGAATTGGGCCATGCTCCTCTCTCCTTACACTGACCCATGGACTTGCATGTACCCAGCCTCATCCCATGCAGGAACTCACAGGACCTCTCTCCTGCCATGCAGCTGTAGCAGTCTGGGACTTTTCCTGTTATGTTGGAAGATGTCTGAAACACCTGGGCAAAACAATATTAGAAAGCAGATCTAGAAGAGCTCCTGGCCTTGTATAGTGCTAGAACAAATCTCATGGGAGGGTCAGTGACAGGGATCTTTCCCCGAATCTTTCCCTATGCTCACTTCCATCTTCACTTCCAGAAATCAGCCCGCTTGCACAGAGGGCCTCGATATGTGGAGCTGGTCCTGGTTGTGGACAGTGAGGAGGTAAGAGAGGGTGGGCATGGGTTTCCACTCTCTTCTGCAGCTGTTGGGAGGTGGAACTGATCTGGGAACCTCTCTGTGTCCTTCCCCTAGTTCAGGAAGTACAAGGACTTGCGCAGGGTGCAGAACCGCATGAAGGAAATCGTCAACCATGTTGACAAGGTGAGCCCAGAGTCCCCAGGGCCAATATGACTGTGCTCACTGGTCAAAGCTTTGGGAGAGGGCTGGAATGAAGCCAGCCTCACACTGTGAAGTGGGCAACCATGGAGCAGAGTGTCCGGCAACTGATGGGCTATGCAAAGTGGGCATTAGAAGTAGGTCAGCTCTCCCTCAGAGAGAACCCTCAGCCCTCAAAGTTCAAAGGCTGTTGTTGCGTGGCTAGGGTGACCTGGGATTGGTGACAGGTCCCAAAGGGAAGGTGGGATCTTCACTCTGCTGTGCAGCTTGGATCCTCTCGACTGTATCCCCTTGCAGCTTTATCAACCTCTTGGCTTGCGTGTGGCCTTGACTGGCTTAGAGGTGTGGAGCAACGGGGACAAAATCACTGTCAGTCGCAAGGCAGAGGAGACTCTGGAGAGCTTCCTTCGCTGGCGGGAGACAGACCTACTGAAGAGGAAGCAGCACGACAATGTCCAGCTGATCACGTAAGGAGGTTGGATGGTAGACCTTCCCTGCAGCCCTACTAGTGGATGGATTGCATGCCCATGGTCATGTTTCCTTCCTGCAGGGGTATAGACTTCCATGACACGACCATAGGGCTGGCAAAGAAGCTTGCTATGTGCACCAGGGACTCGGGCGGTGTCAATCAGGTGGGTCCTGCCACCTGGGTGCATGCCATGAGGGATCTGCTGGATCTGAGCCATCAGGAGCCTCCAAAAACTGCTCTGTAGACAGGAGGTTTCTTCCACCACCTGTCAGATGACCACAAGACTTGATTCGCAATTGCTACTTGATCAGTTTGGTTGTGCTCCTAATCCCTCTGGTGGAGCATGAACAATCGGCCATAGGAACAAATGGAGAGCAGTATTTGAATATAGTTGCTGTATCTCTACTGACTTATGCCCCTGTAAGATGAGTTTGGTGGTCTTCAGAGGCTGTGGGGCCAGATTTTGTCTTCAGTTATCTCAGTCAGAGAAGAGAAGGCTTTGGGGAGACCTCACAGAAGCCTTTCATTAGTTGAATCAAGCTACAGGGGAGCTTGGGAGGGACTTTTTTATCAGGGAGTGTAGTGATAGGGCAAGGAGAATAGCTTTGACCTAAAAGAGGAGAGCATTAGATTAGATATTAAAAAGAGATTATTCACTATAAAAATATGGCACTGGAATTATAAAATAATAGAATCATGGAATCAACAAGGTTGGAAAAGACCTTGAAGATGTCCATCTACCACTGATATTTCCCCACTAAAACATGTCACATAATATGACATCTTAATGTTTCTTGAACACCTCCAGGGATGGTGACTCCATCATCTCCATAGGCAACCCATTCCAGCATCTGGCCCTCTTTTGGAGAAAAAATTCTACTAACATCCAACCTGAACCTCTCCTGGTGCAACTTGAGGCCATTCCCTCTAGTCGTATTGCCAGTTACCCATCTCACCACAACCTCCCTTCAGGCAGCTGTAGAGGGCAATGAGGACCTCCTCTTCTTGAGGCTAAACAGTCCCTTAGCCCCTCCCTTTAAGACCCGTGCTCCAGACCCCTCACAGATGCCCTTCTCTGAACACATTCAAGGGCCTCGATGTCTTTCTTGTAGTGAGGGGCTAAAAAATGAACACAGCACTCAAGATGCAGCCTCACCAGTAGTGAGAGCAGGGGAATGATCACCACCTGCTCCTGATAGCTGCATGATTTCTGATGCAAGTTAGGATGCCACTGGCCTTCTTTGTCACTTTGGCATACTGCTGGCTCATGTTCAGCTGACTGTTAACTAACATCCCCAGATCTCCACCTCCACCCAGCTTACCAGCCACTCTGCCCAGGACCCAGCACCTGGCATAAAGCTCATACAGCAGGCCTCAGCCCAGTGATCCAGCCTGTCCAGATCCCTCTACATCTTCCTACCCTCAGGCAGATCAACACTTTCTTCCAACTTATCTGCAGACCTACTGAGAGTACACTCAGTGCCCTTGTTCAGATCAGCAATAAGGATACTGAACAGAACAGGCCCGGTACTAACACCTGCGGATCACCAATCGTTACCAGTCACCAGCTGGATTCAACTCCATTCACCACCACTTTCTGGGCCCAGCCTTCCATCCAGTTCTTTGCCCAGCAAAGAGTGTATCTGTCCAAGCCACATGATACCAGCTTCTTAAGGAAGATACTGTGGGAGACAGTAATTGAAGGCTTTGCTGAAGTCCAGATACATCACATCAACATCCTTTCCCTTATCCGCCAGGCAGGTCACTCAATCATAGGAGATGAGGTTGGTCAAGCAGGACCTGCCTTTCATGAACCCATGATGTCTGGGTCTGGTCCCCCAGTTGTCCTGCAGGAACAGGTTGTCCAGTGAAGCTGTGGGTGCCCCATCCCTGGAGGTGTTCAAGGCCAGGCTAGATGAGAATTTGGGCACCCTTGTCTAGTGGAAGGTGACCCTGCCCATGGCAGGGGTTGGAACCAGATGGTCTGTAAGGTCCCTTCTGACCCAAACCATTGTATGGTTCTATGATTCTCCCTTGGCATGGGACGAATTGCAGGCAGCAGCAAGGCCCAGCAGAAAACATCTAAAAAAGCCTCAGGAGGCCCAAGAGAAGAGCCATTTGCACCATGTTTGGCTGCTTCTTCCATAGGACCACAGCATGGATCCTATCGGTGCTGCGTCCACCATGGCTCATGAGATGGGGCACAACCTGGGAATGTCTCATGACGAAGACATTGCTGACTGCCACTGTCCTGTCAGCAAAGAGAGTGGAGGATGTGTTATGGCAGCTAAGATCAGGTGAGTGAAGGGGAAAGTGTGAAAAAAGAGTAAAGAGCAGCCCTGGGTTGCAGTATTTCCAGATATTCTCCAGCATTGTGTTGATGAGAGCTGAAGTGAAGCTCATGGGATGGTCAGGTCCGAAGGAATATTCACTATTTTTGTCTCTGACTTTGAAGCTAGATATGCATCTGCTAAGGGTTCTTCAGCTGCAGTTTGGTCCGTTGGTCATCCAGCTCTTCTCATGACTGCCTGGTTTTGTGCCCCTCCAGCTTGTCTTACCCCAGACTCTTCAGCACCTGCAGTGAGCAGGACATGTGGCAGTTCCTTGAAGACCCCAAGACTGGCTGCTTGCTGAATGTCCCTGGAGCAGACGAGCTGTATGGGGAGCCAGTGTGCGGGAACCAGTTTGTAGAGCGGGGAGAGGAGTGTGACTGTGGCAGGCCAGAGGTACAGTCTGGGAGCTCAGAGGGATCTGAGGCACCATCACTCAGACTTGGGGAGGGTGGTGCTTGGTTCTTTCCTGCCACTGCGCTTTGCAAGGCTTCCTGACTGACCTTTCCTGTCTCCTTGTGTTTGTGCTGAAGAATAACTTGAGGAAGGTGTTTGTTAATGTAGGTGCGTGCCCCATTTTGCACAGTTTTGGGACATCCCAAAGAAGGAGATGTGACCCACACATCTGCACATCCTGAACTGGGGGAAGGCAGTGATCCATACAGAAGATGTTTGTGTCCCTGATGGGTCCCCAGACAGGCAGTGAGGTGTTGCTGCTGTGTCTTGGACCAGAGCAATGCTGTGCATTGGCCTTGTGGTTGGACTTGGAACCATTTCATGCCTGTTGTGGCTACCCTGCCCTCAGCACATGCTGACATGGCAGCTCCCTGAAATGAAGGAGAGAATCTTTCAAGGGATGTTTGGGAAGGCCTTCTTCCTCTGCAGCATGGATTTGTGGCAATGGGGTTTTCCCTCTGGATCTTGCAGCTGAAACAAAACCGAGACTTGTCAGCTCTCTGTGGTCTCACCAATGTAGGCTTCATACAGCTCCTCTTCCTTTGGAACCTGCTTGGCTGTGTCAGCTCAAAATCAAGCCTTTTTGGCTTCATCTTCTCAAGACCTGGCTTATAGTAAGCAGGAAATAGGCTCCAGGGTGGTTCCTTCATCAAAATCACTTCATGCGAGAGCTCATTTAAGTCTCCAGAACTGTGCCTGCAGGGGCCCAGACCCATGGCTGCTGATGTATCACCAGGCCCAGGCTCACTGAGATAGAGTGAGATTTTTGACTGCTGGTGGAAGGGCAGGGAGGCTGAGAGGGCCATGCCCGTCCCTGTCTCCCTGTGTGCCTCACAGGAGTGCTCTGACCGCTGCTGCAATGCCACCACGTGCCAGCTGAGAGAGGGGGCTGAGTGTGCACAAGGCGACTGCTGCCAAGACTGCAAGGTACTACGTGGGGTCCTTGGGGCCTTCCTGGTGTGCCAGGAGAGCCTGAGGACCGCTGCCTGTCCAAACCCAGCAATTCTGGGTGAAGTGTTGCTTTCGGTCATTGTGCTGGCTGTGCAGACAGTCAACATCTCAGGTGGGAGATGACAGTCCCACTTTCTATGCAGGTGAAGGCTGCTGGTGTTCTGTGTCGGGCCAGCAAAAATGACTGTGACCTTCCCGAGCACTGCACTGGCCTCAGCTCCGAGTGTCCAGAGGACGTCTTCCAAGAGAATGGCATCCCCTGCCAGGGTGGCCGCGGCTACTGCTACAATGGGGCCTGCCCCTCGCATGCAGAGCAATGCCGCCTGCTCTGGGGCGCAGGTAGCACCATGTCCTCATCCCACATGCTGCAACTCTGCACTGTGCCACATCCACGGAGGTGGTGTGGCGACTCTGGGAGAGGCCAGGGCCAGGCAGGACCTGGTGTGGGGATGGACTACCATTGGCTTGCTGCAGCTCTGGCTCCTTGTGACCCTCTTGCTCTGTGCTTCCTGCAGCTGCTCAGGTGGCTCCTGATGAATGCTTCAAGCACAACAGCAGGCAGGATCGCAACCTTCACTGCATGACAGAGTCTGGGAGGAAGCCCTGCAGCCCCAAGTAAGGAGCAAGGTGGCTGTTCTTGTTTCCATCACTAGCCCTGGGGCCAACCAAGGTTCCGCAGGACTGACACTGCTCTGCTCACAGGGATGTGAAGTGTGGCACGCTGCTATGCATGAGTGACACCAGCAGCCCCGCCCTTGGCAGCGGCTTCTTCACACTCTCCTTTGGCCGCTTCAAGTGTAAAGCAGCCCTTGATAGCAATGATGCCAATGAGATGACAGGCAGCCTCCAGCTGGTGCCCACTGGCACCAAGTGTGGAGAGGAGATGGTGAGCCCTGAAGGGATGCATTGAGGAGGTGGGGGTGGCTCCCAGCCACAGGGTCACACTTATAGCCCCTTGCTCACTCACAGGTCTGCTATGCTGGGCGCTGCCAGAACCTCCTGGTCTATGGCAACAAGAATTGCTCAGCTAAGTGCAGTGGCCACGGGGTAAGTTGTGCCTGATTGCGGCTAACATTAGCAGGGCTCCTTCTGACCCCTTGCTGCGAAATGGCTCCCATGCCCAGACTGCCCTCTGTGCCTTCAGGTGTGCAATCACAAACGAGAGTGCCACTGTGAGCTGGGGTGGGCACCACCGTACTGCCAGCACAAAGTTTTGGAGCTCACGGCAGGTAGTGTCTTCTGCTGAGATGTGGCATCAGGGCCCCACTGGGCATCCCTAGAACAGGAAAGCCCATCCCAATGCCGACCGGCTCTCTGCAGGTGGCAGCAGCACGGTCCTGGCAGCTGTGCTGGCTGTGCTGGTGCTGTCCAGTATCCTGATCGGTGGAGGCATTGTGCTGCTCAGAGGCAAGGGGAAGAAGTACTTCCAGAAAGGGTAAGGAGCCCTATAGGGGAGTGAAGACATGGCTGTGCAAGCTGAGCTGAGGGCAATGCTGTTGCCTGTTGGCCCTTTGTCCCACAGGAGGATCTCCAGCAGACCTGCCACCGGCCTCACCAACCCGCTCTTTCAGGAAGGCACCCGGCCACACCAGCTGTCCCGCTGCGCCATCGGCAGCCCCAGGCTGCTCAGTACTACGGCAGCCCCACGCAATGCCCGGCCCCTTGTGCCCAGCTGCCCTCTCCTGCAGGTAGGAGCATGGTGTGGGGCCCCAGAGAGGGATTTCCAGTGGGGCGGCCTTTCAGTCTGAGAGATCTCATGCCCTGGATGTGATGTCCTTGACTTGTGGGCAGTGGTGTCTTGCTTCCCAGTGCAGGACTCTGCCCCAAAGCCAGGCCGCTGTCACATGCTCAGGTCCCTCCCTGGTATGTGGATGAGGGACTTAAGCCTTTCTTCTCCGGCCCTCAGGAGAAGCCGAAGCCACCCACCAAGCCTTTGCCAGCTCTGAAGACCAAGCAGGTAGCTACCACCTGCCCCAAGGTGCTGGTGCTGGGAGCGAGTTCTGGTGCCGCATGGGCAGCCACCTCACTTCTCTCACCTCTTGCCACCCTTACCAGCCCTGCAATATGGCAGCAGGAGAACCGCTGCCACCAGCTCCACCTGCCAAGCCCCTGGCACTTTCATTCCAGCCATGTGCCATCCCAGTCCTGCCCCAGGTGAGCCGCACCTTGTGCCCCTCCCACTTCATCTCTGGGTACCCAGTGCCCACCAACATCTCCTCCTTGTTCCAGCGAGGATTCCCCCCCAAGGTGGCCCTGAAACCACCAGCAAGCAGGAGGTGATGTAGGACAGCAAAGCTGTGGGTCCTGGCACTTAGGCAGGATGGCAGGCGACCACAGAGCCACCGGTACTTGAATTACTCACCAGACACCCTGGACAGCACCCATGTTTACAGACATTTTTGTGCCTTAATGGACTTGGTAGCTTTATGGGTTGCCTAGACAGCCTTGGGGACCAGGTGAAGGGACACTACCAAAACCACTCTTACCCATAGGAAACCCCCAAAGTGATGTCTTCTGCTTTCCTCTTCGCCTTACTCCCTAAGTCCCTCCTGATGCCTGCTCCAACTTGGAGGCCAGCCCCGAGCCTTTACTGGGTGCCCTGTGCCCTGCTACAGTGAAGGTGGCCTGCTCCTCATACCCTGTCCCTGCTGGGGCTGCAGCAAGGAGCTCCTGGCTCCAAGACAGGTGACTCAAGGATGCTGTGCTTGCCCTGCATCAAGCTAGGCCTGGCTTCACAGCAGCAGTCCTCCTCATCTGGTTCTTCACTCTGAAGTTATCACTCAGGCTCCTGCTCTCCTGAAATATGAATTTCCAGGAGCATTTTACTACAGCCAGCAGTTAATTTCTGATTGCTGTGTGACTGTTTTGAGCCCTTTGCTGTGGAACTGGTCCTCCTCACTTTTTATCTAATGTAGGTCAAATACTTTATACAAATAAAGACTGAAGATAGCAGTGGCTCAATGTGTTGTGTCATAAAAGCTGAGAGCAGGAGGGAGCACTGGGGCAATGTGCGACATCCCATGTGGGGCTCAGTGACAATTCCACTTGGTGAGAAAGCGTGGGTCTGAGGAAGTGATTGGGGGAAATGCTCATGCTGTAAAACTGAGTCAACTGAGAGCAGAATGGGTAGATACAGAACTAGAGGCAGCAACACCAACCGTAAGAAACATAAAGTCACCAAGGAAATGGTATCAAAATAGTTTTATTTTTTATCAAAAGAACACTGTGCATGTAAACTTGAACATATGCATCGTTTCCTGCAAGAAGGTGCTGCTGATCCAGTAGCAACCCCCCCTTAGTCAGAAGAGCACGCAAGGAGAAAGGAGCAAAACAAGTTCAAAAGCATGTTCCCTCTGCTCTCATAACCCGGACCAGGAGCCAAGGCCATGGCTACCAGCTGCAGACAGGCAGTACCACACTCCTCACACCTGCTCAGGATGCTGGGACTAACAGCGCAGCAAGCAGATGAGAACAGGAGAGGTTCCTGCACACAGCACTGCTGCAGGACTTCTGGCCACAGAATGACATTTATCCAAGGCGGTAGTCTCCATATGGGCAGTGGCAGGAGATGAGTTGACAATGCTGCCAAGGCTCACCACCTTATGCACCAGCTTCCCTTCTCCCCACATGGGATCGTTGTTATGACTTAGTATTGCTTCTCAGGATTCCTTGCTGCCTCTGCTCCTTGGCATCTCCAGGCTGGCATAACTCACCTGTAGCGTGATGTCAGCATGTGGCAGATCTGTAGGTGAGTCTGTAACACCATCAAATGCTTCTGATCTCAAAAAGCTTGTATTTAAAAGTCAACCCCAATGGCTGCTGCTGCTGCAGCAAGGAGAGGCTGCCTTTCTGCTGTAAAGTCAGTGCTGCAAACCAGAAACAGCAAGAAGCTAGCAGGCCAGGGATGTGGCTCCACTGGCTCCTCACAGCCCTTCCCACAGGAAAAAGGGGATCCTGTCAATCCAGGAATACTTCCAGGAGATATTTCAATCACCACAGCTACAAAACATGCTGCCATCTGGGTACTGGGAGTCTGCAGACAGCTGAAGGAAAGAACGGGCCAAAACATCCCTGCTCTCTCCCAGAGATGAAGGAGAGGCAGTCAGGCAGGAGCTGAGAAAGTGTAAGGCACTGTATGTTACTGAATTTCCTCAAGGAGAGACACTGCAGACCTTCAAGTCAAACATGCCATGCAGGATAGGGAAAAATAGGACTGATGTGCACACAGTGATTGGGAAATCATTAGCAGATGTGAAGTTCCAGCTGTTGATTCTGGATTGAATCAACATTGAAGCAAGTTCTTCCTCTTGCCATAAGGTAAGATGGTGCCAGGGACAGGGAAGCAGGAAGAACATCTGGGTATCCAAAGCACACGGAAGAGAGCGAGGCTCTGCAGCAGGTTAAGAGGCAGGCAGTGCGGCAGCAATGCAAGCTGGGACGTAGTTTTCTGGCTCAGGTCCTTGCCAGCATCTTCTGAGATTGTCACAGAACACAAAAAACAGACCCCAGAAAAAATGGGCAAAGCAGAACATGGAATAGAAGAGCAGATTATAGGAACAAATTCACCTTTGCTACATCACTGGGAAACATGTCTCCCTGGCTTTGCAGCGGAGGAATCAAACAGGATCTGCGGCAGAGCAGAAGAAACAACAGAAGTGGGACAGCAAGCACGTGACAGCACTGGGCTTGGGCAGGCTACATCAGGCACTGATTCTCTGCCTCACTGTGATACTTAACAGAATGTTTGAGGAGCAGGGTAACACAAAGACTCCTGCCCTCTGGCCCAACGTCTTGCATTTCTCTCTTGCATTTCTCGTTGCTCTTCCATCTCTTCTCACTTCACAGCAGGGCAAAGCAGTGGAAATTCAGCATTCTTTCCATGGTGAAAAGACCCAGAGGGATGCTGCAGTCTGAACAGATTTCACAGTGCTGGACTCCCTCTTCCCAAGCAGATGAAGTTTTCCAATGCACTCTGAATTCTGGCTTACAGTACAGTCATCCAGGCAAAGCACGCTGCAGCCAGCCATGGACACCCAGCACAGGGCTCTAGCTTGGAGGAGGGTGTTACAGAAACCTGTCTGAAAGTACTTTCTCTGAGTCATTATCTAGTTTCACTGCCTACAGGAATGGAAAAGATTATGGCTATGCAGATCCTATTTAAATAATCTATTCCACACCAAACTCCTTGCTGGATCTCTTTCAGAGGAGGATCAGAGGCTGACCAACACAGAATCCTTGAAGAGAATTATATCACGTTGACGCATGGAGTCCACAAAATGAAGCTGTATCAAGCAAGATGAAGGCAAACTCTTTCCTTGGTCTCAGCAAGGAGCAGTAGGAAATAGCGTGCAGCCATACAGCACTCAAAAGCCACATCTCCTACCTCAAGGATAATGTTTGCTAAATAACTGCACCTGCTGTGGAAGGCTTTCCTGGTGTCTGTCCTTTAATATTCCAGTATAAATTTGTTAGTACAGGATATTCCCTCATTTGGAAGCACCAATTTTATAGGGAAGAAACAAGAGAGGCAGAGTGCTTGCAATTCATCACTAGAAGAAAAATCAACCCAACTGCCAACTATAGGCAGGATGCCCACGCACATGCTGCATCTGCCCCATCAAACATCGGGCAACATCCCCATTCACAACTGGGAGAGCTGCTGAGCTACAATGGGTTCTGTTCCACCTCTGTCAGCCAGTATTTCCCTTTGTTTTGAAGTGGCTGTCTGCAGGGCTCTCCTGGATTTCCTGAGGAGGAAGGTTGGTTTCTTGGGTAGTCCTCACATCAGCTTGCTGAAAGGCACAAGAATCCAGAAACACACTGGGGATGCTGTCGCCAAAATACAACTTGCTGTTCGCAGCTATTGCCTGGTATTTCATGAGTTCCAGATACTCTGGGGTAAGTTTCAGCTAGAAAAGAAGAAACAGGGACTTAAGAGACAAGTTTCTGCATTGCCAAGATTTCAACTCAGGTAGCCACTTCTTAGGAATTGAGATGTGGGCTGCTCAATTAAGTGCTTTCTCAGTGCTGTTCACATGCCTGCTTGTCTCTAGTGCAGTGGAAAAGATTAAGCAAGTCACTTTCTGACCAGCTTTGAAGTGCTCACCTTGTTGGAGTCAGCCAGCTTCTGAGCAGTGTAGTACTCCGCATCTGCTTTTGCCTTCTCTCTTGCTAGGAATGCAGCATCTAATACAGGAAAAGCAGCATCAGCAAGTGAATGAGCACAACACAGTGTGGTTGTTGTGGTTGTGTTGGAGCACAACACAACACATAGCCTGGCTGGCCAGGGACCTGCACTTGTGGCCCCCTTGATCTCTCCCCCTTAATCTCGTGCTGCTGTGGCCTCTGTTATTTTTGTAGGGCAGTACTACCTGCGAGTCTGGTTCTGAGGTTTCTCTACCTGCCACCACTCTTAGCTGAAAGATAATCCCCACAGCACACTAGCTCCACAGTTACCTTCAATCTCAGAAATCCGCTTCTCTGTTTCTTTCTCCATAATCTTCTGTTGATAGTGAATCCTGGCCACCTGGGCAGTCTTCTCCGCCTCTACAATCACAACAGGCTCAGCTCAGACATATGCTTTGCGAGGCCTGAGAATCAGCAATCTGACCCCAGCCCTCTGTCACAGACATAAAAGTGATTTGCTTCTGCTGCCTCCCTTTCTGCTCAGATCCTATAGTCCTGCACAGCTCTGTGCCAGCTTGTGCTCTAAGAAAGAAAACAGTCCTGGTGCTTCTAGAGCAGAACTAGTCAATATTCCTTTTAAGGTGTGATTCCTCTTACTCAAGGGCATTTAGCTTAAAGCCCAGTTTTGCTGGCAGAGATGTTAACTCTTGACCTTCTCTAAAGCAGCCTTGCTGTAGGACAAAGACACTGCTCTGCAGCTTTGGGAGGAAGACACAGCAGCACCAAAACTTCTGTTTTCTACATCTCCCACTGACTGTTGGCACAGTTTCATCAAGACATTGTCCTGTAATTGGTCTCCCATGAGATGCAGGAATGGAAACTGTCTCTTGCCCAAGTATGCTGACATACCAATGAGCGCTTTCTTCCGGTCTGTCTCTGCCTCCTTCTCTACTACCTTCTGCTTCTGGGCTGCAATGAGGAGCTTAGTCTTCTCAGCCTCCCTGCAGGACAAGAAGCAATCTCATGAAAACAGAGCTGGATAAACAGTTCTGCAAACAAGGGCACAAGAGGACAGGGGGAAAAGATGCTGACCAGATGTTAGCAGCATTCCCTTGCAGCAGAGACAACTAGCCCTGTTTAAGCCAGTGGGTTGAAGGAAATGTACCTCATGTACAAGTGTGAGCAGAGTACACTTCTCACCATCTGAGCAAAAGGTAAGAGTTTTCTAACAGTATTATGCTCATGCTGAACCCTCAGAACCAATTTGTAAGTTTTAGGTGCTGCTACTCACATTAGCTCAAAATTCCTTCGGATGGCTTCAGGGATTTTAGGTTTTGTAACACGCACAGCCTATTAAAAAAAAAAAAAAAAAAAGTGTGTTCATTTTAGATAAAACATTTTGATGAAATCTGCATAGCTAAGAAATGTCTAGTTTCATGAAGACATCTTCATATTAATCCAAGACCACACGTAGCAGTTTCCAATCCTCTTGTGCCACACAGCTGAGCAACAGTCACTTTACATTTGTATTTCCTATCTCTTGAGTTTTTAAGAAAACAAAGTAAGAAAACAAAGTGATCAAGCGAGGGCTGCAGAAGACTTCTGAAGAAGTTCATCAGCTTTGTTAGAAGCTTAGTTATTCAGCCCAAAGGTCGAATGGCTCCTTAAGCAACACCAGACAATGGATTCCAAAGTAATGCTCAAGAAAGAAACTCACCAACCCAAATAAATGAAAGGGCAGGAGTAAGAACTACAAACAGAGACAAAGTTACAAGCCCAGGAATTACTTTTCTAGGAGTAAAGCCTGCAAAAGCTACCAGGCAACAAGAAACTGCAGCAAAGACATAGGAGAGCAGCAGGGCATGTGTGGCATGCACAACTGTTGCATGCAGCTGCTGATCACCAAGAGTGCTTTGCATGGCAATGCTGATCACCAGCCTGTGTGCATCACCTGGCTGATGACTAAATTTTGGGAGACGTGGATTAAGACAGTCCATGGCAGTAAATTGGCTGATGCCATGACTGGAAAGAAGAGTCAGCCTGGCATCAGAGCAGGACACTTTGGAACAACTACTGCTCCTCTGAACAAGAAGAACAAGTGGACTTATGAGACATCAGATCAGAATCAGTCCTTCAATGAAAGGGTTTTCTAAGCTCCTGCCAGGAACAAAGCCTCTCCAAGTCCCTGGTGAGGTTCTACATGCAGAAAGATCACCTCAAAGCAATTCCCAGTCACAGCAGGGTGCACAGGGATATATTCTTTCCATCTCCATAATACCACCAAATCAAAGATCAGTCTCTAGAAGTGTGGGTTTTCAAACACAGGCGAAGATTACTCTGTAGGCTGATAAAACACTCTGATCTTGGAAAATTTCCTCTAGCTTAGATTTTATCTACTTGAAGGTAAAATCTGCTTGTATCTACTGCACAAAAGCATTACTCTGTATCATCAATATGGTTAATATTCAAATATTAAGGCACTGGTACAGGTTGGGACTAAGAGGCTAAGCAAGAGCTTTGCAAAAAAAAGGATCATGAAGGACTGGCTCTGGAGGCAAGCTGGTGTTATAAAGGCACTTCTACTCTGGTAATGAAGCCCAGCCCCTGACCCCAGGGCCGCTTTGGCAAAAGCTCAGGAGCAGGGTGAAGCCAACATGTGTTCCCATCTATCCTGGGTCTAATGAGGCTGTCTCAGAATATTGGGTGCAATGTGGGGAACACAGCGTAAGAGCTACTAAGAAGCTGCAATTTTACCAGAGACGAGGGCACAGCTCTGATTTGAAATGAAGCAATATACACAGGAAGAGAAGATCACACCATTTCCTAAGGACTAGAGATGAACCACTTCCCTCACAAGTTATGGGGCATCTTCAAACTGCTGGTCCTGTGAACTAAGACAGGGCTGAAGCAGGCAGAATATCCTTCATCTTTTGACCAACTGCAAAGATCGGGCATGGCACATTGAGAAAGAACAGCTTATGTCACAGATCAGATTTAGCTCTGTCATTAGCATTTCCTAGCAAAGAGCAGTGAGCTTTTCTTCCACCCTGAGATCAGAAAGACCTTTTATGTTACAAAGATAATTTTGACCGACGATGCTCATCCACTACAAACTTGTGTGCAATGTACAATGCAAATTAACCTGAGTATTGCGAAGAGCAAGGTTGACTCTTGTCAAAACAGAGCAGGCAACGGTAAAATAAGCCATGAAGAGGAATACAGTATTTACTGTAGCACTTCATGTGCTGTCAAAGGGAAGCTTTTCTCTCCCCACATGCATCCAGACATCTCTTTTCTTCTTCAGTACTTGTAGAAACTGCATGGGCATGCTGGAGCTATACAGGGGTGCCAAATGTAGTTAGAAGAAAAACATTTTCCCGGTCTTTATGGATTACACTCAATCCCTGCACATCTATGGCCTAAAAGGTAATTTATCTACCCTGTACATCTCCCTCAACATAAAAACAGCATTTAGAAGTAGTAACTGTCACATGGGCAGTTTTCAGCTGACAAACCTCACTTTCAAGGCACAACTATTTCACCGTACGTGGAAAACAGAAGCAAGAAATCTCATTGATCCATTGGAAGGTGAATGAATTAGAGGTAAAAAAGAAAAATCTTTTATCGAACAATAAACCTACCTGGATGGTAAGACCTGGTGCCATGACATTGAGATCTTTTTGCAGGGCCAACTTCAGATTCTCATCTATCTGATCTGTGGACAACAAGAGAGATCACATAGCTATTGTCACCATTTCTCCTATACATCGTGTGACAGCAATTCAGCTAGCGTTGAAGAGACATCTCCATGGTGTAAGAAAAAAAGAATTTTTGAAGTCATTCTGTATATTGCTTTCCTTTTTATACCCCCTGGAAAATATTCCCAAGGATAGAGCCATAAGAAGCACATGACAGTGCCTCTGGAAAAGTTCAACTACTGACAAAGTCACGGCATCAGAGCCGAGGGCATATGGATCTCACTGTTCAGCAAGGAAACACATGCAGAAACTTGTCCTTCCCTACCAGAGCCATGTCAATCTCATTGACTGCAGTGAGCTCTGCCTTAGCTCTTGAAAGACCTACAGAATCCAATACTTGCTACTGAAAAAACATATTTTGTTACTCCCAAGCTCCAGGAAGGTCTTTCCACTGGAATACACTGTTATGAAGGGATTAAATTGCATGCATTACCAAGAAACACCTCTCTGACTATTTATGTTTTGCAAGTCTGAGTACAGCATTCAAAGATTTATTGCTTCCAAACATTAGAAGTCTGACAGCTTTTTACCTTTCAAAATAATAAATCTATTTTCTCCTGTTCTGACAATCAAGAAGGAACGAGATGATGTTATACCTCTGGAGACACAGGTACGCACCCACTCCAAGGAGCAGAATGTCAAATTTGCTAACTCCTGAATGGGTGATACCCCCTAGTGAAAAAATTAAGGCAGTGCAATGAAGTGCAAGCATCTCCCTTCCAGCCCCTTGCTTCTAGCAGTCAGAAAGAAACTTTTAAAGCAAAGAAATTAATTCAGCTACAGAACAAATTGAGAAGAACAAGACCCATCACAGTGAAGGCAACAAGCACGACTCCATGCACAACAGCAGAGAACACACTCTGTATGTCCAGAATTCAGCCCTGAGCAGAAAAGAACTGGAATCAAATCTCTACATGAGAATTCTGAATCATTAGAGAGTAAAGTTCCAAGAGAAGCAGCACATAAATATCTAAGGAGCTGGTTTTTAGACTGCAACTTCAATATGTAAGCTGCTTGCTCACAGGAGACTGCTGTAACATGTTTCACAGAACAGGAAGACTACACAGACATTGGTGGGTGCATACAGCTGTCACCCACTTACCAAACAGCTCGATGTAAACCTCCTGGAGAGTATGGGCACTGCAGAACTGATTCAACTCGTGATGAATTTTATTGAAGATCAAGGTCTTGTCATAGTCCGCAGTGTAATTTCTCACAATATCGTACACTGAGGAAATAAGAGAACTATTATAACAGCAATGCAGCCAGTGATCCTCTGCTGACATGAACTGCTTTCTGCAGCGCCTCTGCCTCAAAGTGAGGGCTTGTGACAATGGGAAAACAGTGCAGCACTAGGACAAGGCACCAGAGGTGGGTGATCTCCATTCTTGGCACATTTCAGGACTTGGATGGACCTCTGTCCATCCCAGTTGCCCTGACAACTGTTAGCAACACGCCTGCTGTGAGCAGGAGATGTCAAAGGAGAAACCTGTAGAGAGACCCTTTCCACCAGTGCTGCTGCGTTACATTACTTCAAAGAGCTCAGTCACTATAGGAAGACATACTGCATGCGATCTGCCTAACCAAACGGTTCAGGACTTACATGTGTAGGATCAGGTGCCATACAAAGTCAAAAAAAAAAAAAAAAAAAAAAGCATCACATCCACTTTACAACATGAACAATGATTACAACAGAAACAATGCATCAATAACACAAGGGTTTTACATTAAGCTATGCTACTGGAAAAAAAAAAAAAAAAAGCCGTCTACATCTTTGGTTTGGCAGCTGATGAAATAAGAACGTAAGAGGCTCCTACATGGGCCTTACCTTTTTAACTTTTCCATTAGCTGAGTAGGCAAGCACCTGAGGGCTCTGCCATATGTACTGAGTTTCATAGGTCTGCCTCCCTTCAGCTCCAAGAAAGAGGACTGCCTAGGCACTTGCCACAAGCAGCCTAACATGTCAAATCCTTCAGGGGAGAAGCAGTCCTAGAACTTGATTTCCTCTCAGCAAATCTGTGGTTCTTTCAAAGGCTTGCAGGCACAGGCATGAATCTAAGTACTGGGAACCATAAAGGCAACAAGCCACAGATAATGGAAGGTGTTGCAAACCAAGACACAGCTGCCCGAGGGTGAAGGCAGCCACAGAGCTGCTTGTTGAGACAGAACTGGATATACCTGCATATGGTGCCAATTTGTTCACAACTTCTATTCGGTCAATGTAGATCATAACACCGCCACTGGAAACAAAAAAAGAGGGTTAACGAATTAGTACCAAAATTGCTAATACTGGTCTGCATTTAAAGCCAAGTTGTCCTTTTTACTCTTTTAGTAAAGTTTCTGTTAGAAACTTGCAGTTAATTTTTACCCAGAACAATTCTAACCTTTTGAGCACTTCGCAATCAGATGTCAGTAAACCCCATTTCTGTACAGACTGGTTCTTCTCTGTATAAACCAAAAGCCTTTTCTAGCAAGCCTGTAAAGCAGCTTTCAGTTAACTTTGTTACCTCCTACTCGGCCAACAAAAGGGAAACATCTTCAGACAGGAACGCAACCACAATTATCAAAGGTTGGAGTCAGCAGAATGAAGGCGAGACAACAAGGCCAGCAGATAACACCCGCTGCAAGCAGCAGGGCAGCCTCTGTAATAGGAAAATTACAATCCAGTTGCTATCATGGAAACATGGTGGGATGACTCCCATAGATAGAATACCACTGTAGAGTGGTACTGCTTTTTTAGAAAGGATGGGCTAGGTAGGAAGGGTGGGGGAGTTGTCTGCCATGTTAAAGAGTGGATGTTCTGTGAGGAGTTCCCTCTGAGAAATGGTGAGGAGCTAGTTGAGAGCCTGCGGGTTAGAGTGAGATGGGACTACTAATGAAGGACTAACTTGATCAAGGGGAGCCTGCTGATGATGCCTTCTTCCTTCAGCTGCAGAAGGCTGAATGCCCACAGGTACTCATCCTGATAGGAGATTTCAACCACCCAGATATCTGCTGGGAAAACCATGTGGTGAGCTACAAGAGATACAGGAGATTCCCAGAGTCTGTGAATGCTAACTTTCTGGTTCAACTACTGGATAGAGTGACCAGAGGTGAAGTGCTGCTGGATCTGGTGCTCACACAATGCAGAGGAGATCATCAAAGGCATTAAGACTGAAGGCAGCCTAGGCCTGGTTGAGTTTGTGATTTCAAGAAGTGTGGGCCTGGCAAAGAGCGGGGTGGTCGGTGAGCCTCAGCTCTGTGCCTAGGAAGATAATGGAACAGATCTTCCTGGAAGGCATGTTAAGGCACATGAGGGATGAACAGGTGATCCAAGACAGCCAGTGTGGTTTTAACAAGGGAAGGTTGTGCCTGACCAACGTGGTGGATCTCTATGATGGAATGATGGCATCAGCGAACAGAGGGAAAGCAATCAACGTCACCTACCTGGACTTGTGCAAAGTCTTTCACACAGTCCCCCACCACAACCTTATCCCTAAATTGCAGAGATACGGTTTTGAAGGGTGGACTATTTGGTGGATAAGGAATTGGTTTGAAGGCCGCAGACAGAGGGTTGTGGTGAATGGCACTACGTCAAGGTGGAGGCCAGTCTTAGGACTGGTGCTCTTCAACGTTTTCATCAACGATGGGCTCAAGTGCACTCTCATCAAGTTTGCAGATGACACCAATCTGATTGATGTGGTTGACAAACTAGAAAGAAGGGATGCCATCCAGATGGACCCTGACAAACTAAAAAGGTGGGTCCATGTGAACCTAGTAAGGTTCAACATTGCAAAGACCAAGGTTTTGCACTTGGGTCAGAGTAATCTCAGATACGTATTCAGACTGGGAGAAGAATTCCTTGAGAGTAGCCCTGCAGAGAAGAACCTAGGGATCCTGGTGAATGAAAAACTGACCATGAGCCAGCAGGGTGCTCTTGCAGCTCAGAATGCCAATGGTACCCGGGGTCCAATGGTACCCTGGGTCCCATCACAAGGTGGGTGGCCAGCAGAAACAGGGAGGTGACTGTCACTCTCTACTCTGCCCTCATGAGGTCCCATCCAGAGTACTGAGGCCAGGTGTGGGGCCTTTAATACAGGAAATATGTGAAGCTGTTGGAAAGGGTCCGGAGGAGAGCCACAAAGATGATCAGGGGCTGGAGGACCTTCCCTATGAAGACAGGCTGAGTGAGCTGGACTTGTTCAGCCTGGAGAAAAGAAGGCTGTGGGGTGACCTCATTTCAGCCTTTCGGTATTTACAAACGGATTATAAACAGGAGGGGAATCAACTTTTTACTTGGGTAGGTAGTGACAGGACAAAGAGGAATGGTTTTAAGCACAAGGAAGGAAGATTAGATTAGACATCAGGGGAAAGTTCTTCACAGAGAGAGTGATGAGGTGCTGAAACAGGCTGTCCAGAGAGGCTGTGGACGGTCTGTTCCTGGAGGCATTCAAGATCAGGTTGAATGGGGCTCTGGGCAACCTATCCAGTAACCAGACCTGGAAGTTAGTGGCCCTGCCCATGGCAGAGGGGTTGGAACTTGATGATCCTTAGCATCCCTTCCAACACAAGCCATTTGATGCTTCTATGAATGGCACGGAATGTACATTTTTCTCCACCTCACTCATTCTGTACTCTGTCCTTCTATGCTTGATAAAATGACTCTCTCATTCCAAGCAACTTCCAACAGCATTTTTCAGAATTTTCTGAACCTGCTTTCATCCCACTGCTTTGTTCCCGTCACCTTATGATATGTCCAATAGCGCAGGGAAGCCCAGACATCATCCTGTACCATCTAGATATCCTGACAAGGAAGTAAAGCAGAGAGCAAGGTTTTCTTTCACCACAATCTCTTTCAAGAGCAATGCTGCACATCTTAATACTGGGATCCTTTGTGTCTATCAATTTGATGGGAATACTAGAAGCAAAACTGTCCTTGACAGTTTTGGGGCAGTTATTTTGGCAAAGCACTGTGGGCTGAATTGAGTTGATAATCTAGCTACTTCACTTTGGTATTGACGCAGCTTAAATGCCAGCTGAGACAAAGCTCCTTCCATTTCGGCAGCTCACTACCACTCCAAACATCCCCACTTAAAAAAGCAGCCTTCTTGACAGATGCAATGCTGAATGACCCCCACTGCACAGCTCCCACAGGGAGATCTCCAGTGATTAAGACTCTCCACTGCAGTTTCCACAGCCTTTCTCACACTTGAATTTCTGACCTCTACCTTAGAATACATAGGACTGGAACATACCCTGAGGTTCTCACATCAGCACTGTTTTACTAGTTTTACTGACAGAATGAAAACATACAGGGGATGCTAGAAGAGACAGACATACACCAGCAGGCATTTCAGCAGCACTTTTTAGAAAGACTCATACGCTTCAGCATTTGGGCTAATGCCTGGCCAGGAGAAAACAAGGGAAGAACTGAAATATGTTGCCATAGAAGAGACCGTAATAAAAAAAAAAAAAAAAAAAAAAAAAAAAGCAGCAAACCTTCAAAGCTCATTGCTAGACCACAAAGACAACCACACCAGGCTGGGTAACAAGAGCGTGTCAAAACTCTTACACTTAGTCTGTTTAGAGACACAGTGACTAACCTAACACATCCATTTGTGATCTGTGCAGTACATTTTTCCACATGACCAGTTGCAGGGATCTGTCCCAGAGCAGCAGTCCTCTAGTGCTGTGTTGGTGCTTCTGCCAGGGATCTTCAGCAGGAGCCCAAGACCCACACTTTGCAAGTAAACATCTAATACCAGGGCAATATCAACACAGCATCCTGGCTATTTACCTTTCCTTAACATGGTAAATCCTGTGCAAAATTTAGCATGAGTCTTCCCAATTATTTTGTAAGAAAAAAGCTACTTTCCTAGTTTTCGTGTGAAATATCAATACAGAGTCATTTCAATCTGCTTATTGTATTACACAATAGCCAGTGAAGAATCTCTTAAGTCAGCTCTTCAGAATACCTTGCTCTTCTACAACTAGTTTCATGAGGTCTCGTTGATCATCAGTTTTCAGAGATCAGCAGACTTGCCACGAGGAAAGCGCTGAACTTTCCGAGGAACTGAGCATACATTATCTTGCCAAAGAAGGTCAGAAACCTCAAACACTAGAGGTAATCACAGAACTGATTTTCATTTTGGCTTACTGAAATAGTACCTGCTGTAATGAAATAGTTTTAGTCTTCGAGCTGACAGCTGTTTTATGAAAAACATGTAACTGGTGCCAAAGCATTTTAAAATCTGTATTTAATGTATCAATTTGACACTGTCACAAATGAGTGGGACATGTAGGGTAGAAATTAGGGATGGGACACCCACACAGCCATTTTAAACTTCCTAATGTATGAGAATACAGAGAATCAGAACAAAGCAGAAGAGAAAGATCAGTCTTTTCAGTCTGATGGTTCAGTACACAATCACAGTACTTTAAGCATTCAGGACCTACTCTTGTAATAGACTTTGAACCTGGACAGTGAAATTCCAGATTGGAATCAATTCATTACTTACAAAATATTGTTTTACTCATTTTTTCCTAATATTTTATTAGAGAAATCTGGATTCAAAGTTTTGACGTGGAGCAGCTTCAGACTTTGATTCCAAACGCTATACATTTAAAGGCATTAAAGAAAACACAGAAAACTGTTCTAGAAGTAACATCTCTGAACACCAGCATTACTTATAAACACTCCTGAAAAAGGCTTTAAATCTAGACTAAAGCCTGCTAGGTAACACAAGATTTTTATGTTAATATTTAAGCTCAATCAGTGCTCATGATTTGCTATAGGAGTAATTCTAAGCACTCATTTTAACAAGGGCCAAAACAGATCAAAATTAACTCTGCTTTATTAACGTGGTCGCCAGTGTTCAACTTTGAATTTCAAAAGGGTTGCTATGTGTCACCGTTCAGGTCATGCTGATAGTGTTCTGTTGTATTCCTAAACAGAAGCATTGCAAGTACCTTGCAGTGAAAACACAAAAATGATCACTTCTTGCTGATCCTGATGGTACAGATTCAGTGATCCCTTTACTTTGTGAAAGAATCAACACAACAAGATCTGCAACACAACCCAGCTTTCTCTCCTTCTGTTATCGCTTTGCTTGCTTCAACAATGTAAAAATCAACTCAATTATGAAGCAGGCAAGTGCCACCCCTGGTAGGTTGCTGCTTTATTCTGACAGATCCTCTGTCTCTGTCTCTCTCTCTCTTTCTCTCTCTAAGTCAGGTGAAATGCTGATTCCAGAAAATGCTGCAGTAATTCCAGGAAACTTATTTCTTGAGCTGTTGTTTAAACAAGTCATCTCCCACCAGGAGCAAGGACTTCTGTTCGCCATTTACTTTTGCCCACTGCTGTAATCAGCACTCATATTCACCAGAAGCTTCCGGCTAGAAATACGCAAAGCAGAAGGCAGACTAAAGAAGACTAGTGGGTGCTGAGAGTAATGCAAGGAAGAAAACAAGGAAAGTTGGGAGGTCATCAGCATAAATGCAAACATCAATTCCAGCAAGGGCACTTGGTCCTATACCTCCTGCTTGATTTCCAAGTGAAATGAATGCATTTATGCTTGGATCTAATTTTATGCTTTTACTTTTCAGCCTCTGCATCACAGCACTACTAACAACTAATGCAAACTACGCAAGAGAATACATCTACTACATCTACTCTACACCAGAAGAAATACAATGAAAAAAACATACCTTGTTCCACAAGGCACATTTTTCACTTCATCAGTCTGCAGAGTGGTCTGAAATAAAAAGATAACCAATGCTCAGAAATGCATACCATTCTCCAAGCAGACTGTGCTGCTTTCAATCCATCACAACCATAACAGAGGCACGAAGAACCAAACTGCATCCTCTGCCTCCCTCGTGGCAGTTGTAGGTGCAAGTAGGAAACGGACTTTGTCCTAACTGCCTTCTGGGAGAGACAATGGCATCTGTGCTCATTTCCCTACTCTTACTTCCTGCAGCTTTCCTGGGAATCTGTCCACAAACAGATCATATCCTAGAGTGAGGCATTTCCTGCTCCAAAAGAATCTGTGCAGGTTCTCATGCAGCAAAGCACCCAAAGGCCCAACAAATGCTGACATTTTGCACAGGGCAGCAGTCCAGAGACACTGACCTGCACAGATTTGAACGTGGTGATGAAGGGCAACATGATGTGGTAGCCTGGTCCACTTGGACTAGTTAACAATGCACCACCCCTAGAGAGAAAGAGAAAACATTCAAGCAAATGGAAAACGCAATCAAAATGCTAGGAGTCACAGCTATGTTAGTGTGAATTACACAATTCACCTGCTCCATATTTCTTGCATTAGAGTCACTTCAGGCCTGTAACCTCATTCACTACAGTGCCAAGGAGCAACCTATCTTGAGAATATTAACAGCACAATTTCTGTATAAAACAGCTGACTCTAAAGAAGACACTTGCCTGTTGTGACTTAACAGTTTTGAGAAATTAACTTTTAGAGATAGCAGACATAGCTAAATTCTGCAACATTCTGTTGCATCACTGCAACACTGAAGAGAGTCTACAGAACACATAATTTTTTCCTCTAAGCTGTTGACTAGCAGTCATGGAAAAGTCCAGCAGCTGGTGACCTGTGACAGTTTGGATCTCCATAGTGCATTCAGCACAGCCCCCTGCTTGAAGGACAACGATCTGCAGTCCCTTGTGTGGTCAGACAGCTAGTTGTCAGTTGGAGACAGAGGAGAGCTCTGAGCAACCAATGCTTAGCATCCTGCAAAGGCCCACATTGTTCAACACACTCATAATTACAGGAAAAAAGCAGCACAAAGGGATTGGGCCAAAATGGGGAAATGAAGCGTAGAAAGGAGGATAAATGGCATAAGTGACCCAAAGATTCAGAAAGGCTGGCAGAAAAAAGCTTGGAAAGGCTGAGGCTGAATTTCTCCATTCCTTTATTAAAATTTGAAGAGGAAGCATCTAGTAACCACCCTCTCTCTTTCTACAGAGTTTGTCCAGGGCAGCTACAAGCTCCCAGTGCCACTGGGCCAGGCAGGGGCAGGCAGGTGCCCACCTGTCCTGGGACAGTGCAACAGCACCCGGGTGAGAGCAACAAGGCTGCAGGCAGGCCCAGGATACAGGCTTCATGCTTTTAGATCCCAATTATGAGCAGATAAGTCATTTTGTACAGAGGTAGGAAAAGCAACTGAGGGATCAGAAAAACAGAGGACTGCAACGGTTCTGTACAGAACCGTGCCTTATAGGTGCAGGAAAGCAGAAAGAACTCACCCCACCCACTTCAGGGCAAAACCCTGAGGAAAAACCGGCAGGGAACAATCCCCTCCCAGGGCACTCTGAGGGCTGAGAATCTCATCAGTCAAAAAAACCTGCGGAGGCCTTCCAGTAGGAACGCTACCTGTAGTACACGGCCAGGTGTCCCTCCTCAACCTTGTGGATGGAGGCATACAGGAAGAAGACAAGGACTCCCGTAGCGGCAACCACCACCGCTCCGGCCTGGGCCATGGTCATTCTCGCAGCACCTGTGAGACAAACTCCTGAGGGAGGGCGGGAGGAAGCTCCCTTCCCAAGGGGAGGGAAACGCTCGGCCTTTGCACCGCAGCACTCGCGCTTCCCAGCCCAGCGCCACACAGGCCCGACCCACCCCCGCCTCGCGAATCCCTCCTTCAGACAGAGAACCACGCCTCGGAACCCGCGCACCCCCACACCGGCTCTCACCTGGCGGGCCGGCCCCGGGAGGCCTACGCCTGGCTCACGACCGTCCCGCCGGGCTCCAGCCGGCCCGGGAGAACCCGGAGACGAAAGGCGCCGCGCCTTCCCGACAAACTAGGCCCAACGGCCGTGACGCCCCGCCCCTCCCGCCCCGCGCCCACGTGCGGCAGAGGCCCAGCGCCGGGCGGCAGCGGCGCCAGCGCCGCGCGGCGCCCTCTGATGACGTCACGCGACCGCTGCCCCGCTCCAGCAAGGCCGCCGCAGCCTAAGAACGGCGTTTATTAAGGATAAAATCTGCTTAAAATACACGCGCGCACCCGTCGGCACAAAAGCTCCGCTGGGTCCCGCGGCTGCCAGCCCCGGCATCCCCTCGCTCTCCGCTGTGGGGCCCGCTGGGGCCTTGCGGGGCGCGTGTCCCCTCTGCAACCGTAGGCCCAGCCCCGGGCAAGGGTGCTGCTTCCTCAGGACAGTGCAGGGTGTGCCGCGTCCCTGCCGTACAGAGCGTTCGCTGTGCTGAAGGCACAGGGAAGCCACAGTCTGTTAAACAGTTAGTGCCAGTTTCGTACATCTGCTGCTGGCCCCACAGCCTGGGCAATCCATACGGCTAATCCGAGATGCGATGGGGCACGTGGCTGCAGCCAGCTATCTGCACACAGGCAGGAAGCAGCATAGTTCCTGGGACTACTTCAGCCAGCTCCAGTCAAAGTTCTGAAAGAGAAAATGTATAATCAATGGGTATCAAGATGTTACAATCACAATATAATCAAGAGAGTTAGGCAAAGTGGACAACGATAACAAAAGAGAATAAAAAGGAAGGCTTACCCTTAGGCTGGGCTCACCACAAAACACCAATAGAGGCGATCTCCAGAAGAGATCCTTCCCTACTGGTAGCCAGCTCTTAAATAGGTCTAGGAATTGCCTTCACCTGTGCTCCTCTGGCTGGCTCATAGCTCACCTCAGGTGATCAATCGGAGGTTCAGGCCGTGACTCAGTAGTTCCCATGCACTCCACCCCTTCACGGCGTGAACCAATGATCAGGTTAACTAAAGGGTAAGCTTTCCCTAATACAGAGATCCGGTATATCACGACGTTTATACAATTTTATCGCAACGTGTGTTGGTACAATTCAAGATGAGTGATGATCAGTGGATGTCCATACTCTTCTATGGGCCAGTGCTCGATGATGTGACCAGAGGCATGAGGTCCTGAGGTGCAGGTCCGTTCTATGTTCCATCAGTGGGAGATGCCCAACCCCTAATTTTAGCCATGCTTGGGTGACAGGAATAGTCTGTCCCCCAAAACCACCAATCATCACTCTGTTGCCATCAAATTGCCTCGGATCTCCATAGAAAATTAATGTTTGTGCTCCAGTGTCCACTAATGCCATAACTCTCTGAATATTTTTTCGGGACCAATAAATCGTTAATTCTACATAGGGCCTCTGGTCCCGTCTGGAGGCCCTATGGGGACTAACATCCCTTGTCACGCCATGAATTGTGCTACGGCCAATTCTTTTGCTTCTGATGGCTCAGGCATTGTGGCCTGAGACACCTGAGGTGGCTTTTTCTTCCTATTTGGAACAACAAAATCTTCTAAGTTCCATGTTGTTGTTGGTACCCTCTCTATAACTCTTACCCTTGATTTCTTAGGGTAGCTCTGAAATTTTTGATTGTCCTTTAGTTGTCTCCAGAGCTGGAGAAGGACATGGTTGGGCTGGCGGTCGATCTTAGCAAATTGGACCCCAGCCCAAATTAAATCATTAAACGTTTGTTTTTGGGATACCCTTATGGGTCCCGATCGAGGAGCTCGAGTAGCCGGCATTTTGGTTTTATTTACAGGCAGGACCTCTGCTTCTTCCAAAAACCAAATACTGCACCTAGTCCGCAGGCGTTCTGTTTCTCCCAAGTCGGCAACTAACTGGGCAGCCTGCTGGACTACGGCTTCTGACACTACAAGGGGATTTAATATGGAGACTAGGGTGCCATATAGATGGGAGGGAGCTTGCTGTAAAATTAAATCTCTCATCCCTGCTGAAAATTTAACCATATCAGGGCCATCAAATGTGTCTTCATAGATAGCCTCTCTTACACCCAGTTCGCAGATATAATTTTGAAGGTCCTCCATGGAGGACCACATGCCTGTATGTAAAGGTATGTCTGATTTATTCGGCCATACCATATGGCAGGCCGCCATTAACCATTCTAGTATAGAATGGTTTTCATCACGATATTGATGACCCACATATAACCTCTGTCTGAGAGCAGGATGGACAGTCATGGTGGCCGACTTGGCTATTTCTGGGCCATTCACCAAGACACTTTCTGCCCCAGAATCCCACAGCCTTAATAACCAAGCCGGCACACTTTCTCTAGGCTTCTGCCGAAATCACTGTACTAAGTCCACCAATTCTGTTGCCGTGTATGGCCGGGCTGTTACATGTAAATGAGTCTGGGCAGGGGGCCACTGATCAGGCGGCACCCCTGCCGGTCTGTCCTGTACTTTTTTTGTTTTCTGGGTTACGACAGGACGGACTTCCAGTGGATCGGTCAGAATTGGATATTCAAGGTCTGATTTGGATTTGTTGTTTTCCTGATCAACAAAGTCTGTTGATTCAGGAGTCTGGTCATCATTTATTGAAATGTTACGAATTTGGCCTACGGGAAGATGTAGAATTGGCTTCTTCCCTGTTAAAACGCCAAGTTCATGCTCCAGTTTTTCAATGCAGTCTTTCAAAAGCTGATTTTCAGTTTCTAAAGTATTATTTCTTGTATCTGCATGATTTAAGGCACTCAATAGTGGCCATGCCACCATGGAGGCAGCCAGTTGTCTTTCTTTAGTGATGAGGATGTCCTTGCCAAGTCCTTGAAAATAGTCCGCCATGCGATATGGGGAGATATTACCCATAACGCGTAAGGGACCCCATTTTTCAATGACAACAGCTAACTGATAATAGGGGGATCCCTCAAATCCTCCTCTGGCTGGCTCATGGCTCGCCTCAGGTGATCAATCGGAGGTTCAGGCCGTGACTCAGTAGTTCCCATACAGAAAGCAAGGAAAAAACACAGAGATGGAGACAAAAGATTCACTATCTAGCACTTCTCTATTCTCCAGATAATCATTCCATCACAGCTGGAAAAATTCTCACCGTTTCATGACATGGCTCACTGTGATTGCACTGCTCTCCCCACACTTACTGTAGCACTCGGGCATGGCACAACCTGTCTTTCTTGCTCTGAGAATGATGCTATGCCTGTACACAACCTACTGCTACTGGCCCTAGTGATTGTACAGGCAGTACAGAAACACAAACATATGAAAAAAAGGCTCCCAGCCATGCTTATGGAAAAATAGAGAAAAAAGATCTTACTGATTTCTCTTATGTTCTTTTGAGTGACTTTCAGAGGACAAACCTCATTTTCTGCTGTTTTCCTGTTTATCTTCTGTGTCGCGATACAAGGAGAATGGGAAAGGAACCAAGTGTAACTAAATCAAATATTTATTGGCAGAGCATGATTCCACAAGAAAGAATAATCTTTCTGAGTTAAAATATGTCAGAGTCAGATGTTGCACCATGGGATGAGGTGCGGGAGATGACAGAGAAATAGGTAAGAATAACCAATAGGAAGCCACTCAGAGAGCTTTCTCCTCCTCTAGCAATAGCAATTTCTGCTAATGAGTTTTCATTTGCTATTAAGTTTTCACTGAATTCATCCTCAGCAACTCCAGTAAACTCTTGGTTCACTGTTCAGTATGATTCATAAACAGCAGCATAGTTTCTGTTGAAACTATGAAATGTTTCTAGACATTTTAAAGTTTTTAGAGCTCTATTTCACGAACCTTCATTTCTCCAACCCTCTGTTCCTTATTTCAGCAGTTGCAACAGATAAACAATTTTAACTTTTTATCCCACATGAATAGATGCCAACCCTGAAGAGACACTGTAAGTAGCTTCTGAAAATCCAAACCAGAGCATATCAGTGGATCTCACTTCCTCAGAGATCCCTGACTTCTCTACAGGACTGCAATAGTTTGCAAAATAAATTGAGGCAATCTCAAGCTGACAGAAGCTGTATTGACTCTTCTCCTTTATAAAAAGGTCAATCTGATTGCCTAATTATATCTGAATTGGCGTTTCTAAGAAACAGACCTAAAATCAGCTAAAATCAGCTTTTCAAGAAACCTTGTGTTCTGTGACGCTCTTCATCCTCCTGGGCCCATTTGAGCAGTAACTTACCAGCCTCGATCAGTAACTTGGGAACAGCTTCAGTCTGCATCAACATTTCTGTCATGCCTTGCTATTTCAAAAAACAATTTCTGCAAAAAGCCTTCTTAGGACTCTTTAAAGCCCCGCTTTCACTATAATGAGAGCTTAATTTCATAACCAGAAAAGGGCTCCATGCAGGCTGCTTTCCATGAAGACCAGCATGTTAGCAGAGTTCAGGGAGGTAACAGACATCATATGCCAACCACAGCAATTCACATAATCACAAATAATTAAGGAGTGGTTCAGGAGTACTCCATACCCACAGAGGACACTGTTGTGGCTGTGACAGTCAGGTCCTCAGAAACACACCAACAAGCTTACCGTCAAGCTGTTCTGCTCTTCTCTTGCCTCCTGCAACATACTGCTAAAGCGATCAAGATAATTCAGGTTCTCCTCTATCACATCAACGAAGTTTTCCCTGTAGGGAAGGCATAACAAGACAAATATAAAAAAAAAGTTAACACTGACATCAGTAGTTTCTGCACTGAAGAAAAAAAGTAAAACACCAAAAAACAGTTCTCTGCAATTACAGAGCTGCCTTTTAGGGCATAAAACACGCCTGGAGGAAGCATCCAGCAGATCCTCACCCCACAAGCCTCCATTTGTTCTCCTTCCCTACAGAGGAAGTACACAAACCACTCTGAAATTCAGCCTTAAGAGAACATGGGGAATGAGCTGAGTACAAAGCGGCCTGAAATCACAGGCTTACATCTTGCAGCTTTCTGTACAGTTCTTCATACAGTGAAGCCAGATTTCGAAGAGGATCTCTGACGCCACACAAAATCACCTCAGGAAAGCACTCATTAAAGTGTGATCAACCTGTATCACTAGGAGGTAGAATATGCCCTAC